TACCGTGTTCCCTGGTGGAATTGGTTGATATGGGAACCAGAAATTTTGAGCCAGAAGATTTTATCTCTGCAGGCTTAAAAATTTCACTTAAATGTATAATTCAGTTGTGACTGAGATGGCGATAAAACTATTTACTGCATAGTGCTTTGTATTAACATTTTATTTATTTTCCCACTGACCAAAAAATAAAGTTTGCTTCCCATTTTAATTGCATATATCATAAGTTCTTAACATGTTCTCGAAAGTACTGTATGACCAGTGCCCTAGCCCCCGCCTCCTTTATCCTAGTAACATAGTTTGTTTTTGTCACATCATAATATATATTGCAAGTTTTTGTATTTATTCATCTTCCATTTTATTTTTAAGTCCAAATTTCCTCCAGGGGATTTGAGTTTTATGTCCATGGAATCCCAGTGTGTCTGATTCCATGCTGTACCTATCTTTAGGCATTTGTCATATCAAAGCAGCATTTTACAATCTGTAAATTTTATTGTATCAACATTTACTTGGCAATTCTTGTGTCCTGTTTTTGACTGTGTCCCTTTTCCTTTTTTTTGTCTTGAATCTATTTCATTATTTTAACAGTCTCCTCCAAGTTCTAGATCTTGCTGTCCAATAGAGTAACCACTAGTCACATGTGACTATTAAATTTAGATTAAATAAAATTAAATAACTAAACTTCAGATCTTCTCAGGTGTTAGGTATTCTGTAACCACATATGTCCGGCAGGCACTCTATTGGATAATTCAGATAAAGAGCATTTCCTTCATCTCAGAAAGTTCCATTGAGCACACTGATATACATCTTATTTTTTATTCTACTTCTTTGGCTTAGAAATAATTTATTTTCTGCTTCTCCATATTAACTCCCTTTTATGGGTTTTCTCAAGTGATTTTTTTCATTTTATTTCTTTAACTTCTTAAGATAGACACTTACATCATTTATTTTAATCATCTTTTAGTTTATATATTTAAGACAAAATTTTTTCTATGAATGTTGTTTTAGCTTTGTTCCATTTGTTCCATTCCTTTTACATAGTATGTTCAAGTATTGGTGTTATTTTTTATAATGTATATTTTTAAAAATTTAAAATGTATGGTGAGGTTATTTAAAAGAGATTTTTTCCCCTTAATTTTCAGTCGGCGTGTCGTGTCTTCCATGATTGTCATTATTTTTCGGTCTTATTTCATTGTGTATAGGGATGTCGCAAATTCCTTTTTTAAAAATGTGAGATTTTCTTCTGTCCTTGTTACAAACCATTTGTATGCAGGGCCTATTACACACTTTGGAGGTAGATCTGTTTCAGGGTATGATGCTTTCACATATAAAATTCTAGAATAAGTGTAGATTTCATTCTATTTTTACCTTTTCTGAATTGCTTTGGATATACAGGATATTGAAAATCGTGAAATATTGGATTTTGATATGTGGTCCAATCTGAAACGATAGGTTTTTCCATTTATGGTATTAATTCGAAAGATACATTTGTTTTGGTTTCATACTTTCTTCATATTTAAAGCTATTTTCTTGTACTCTGTGCCTTTGCTTTCCAATCTCTGTACTGCTAGAATGTAAGAGGCATTCATGAAGCAAGCCTGTTTTGGTTATGTCAACTTGTAAACTGCTATATCCTTAGCACCTGGAATAGTGCCTAGTGCATGGTTGGTGTTGGGATTTGAGAGCTCACTTAATAACATCATTTTTCCAGATTGCAGTTCTGAAAAGAAAGGAAGGATGGGTGATTAGGTGTAGATTATCAGTTATTTTTATTGACAGATCTCTTGGAGAACATGGTTTTGGTGTGGGGAAACAAAGATCCTTAATATTGCACCCCAGAACTAAGCATCTGTGTCCAAATAGCCTGAGAAGGGCTGGGAAATCTTAATAGTTAGCTATGCCGTTAAAATATTATGGTGGTGTTGAAGAATCAGAGTGGCTTCTTCCTGGTAGCTCTTTAAGAGATCTGGGTGCTGGATAAGCTGTGCCAGCACCCATCCTGAAGTCACCAAAGACATAAGTCACCGTTCCTGCTCTGGTGAACAGTTGGTCAGTACAGTGTTGCATGAAGGAGTGAATGACTTAGAACCATTAAACAGGTTTACTTGTTTAGCCAGGTTAGTAAAAATACATTTAAACTCCGTTTGATGAGATGGAGTATCTGTTGACTCCACACTAGAGTCCTTAGGAAATGTTTGCTTTGACTGCCTTCTCATAATACGTGTCCTTTTTTGTCTCTGGTGTGGTCTCTGTGTGACTAGTTAAATTAGTTAGTTCATCTCGGGGTTATACTTACACACAAGTCTTCTCTAAATCCATGTCTTGTGATATTTGAGAAAGAGTTTACTTGGTTATAAGATTAAGGGTCACAGTTAAGAGGAACCTGGAGATTTTGTCGGCATTCTCCATTATCACATTTTGTTGAGTGACTGTCTCATATTTCCCTTGAGCTTTTATAATGATCTTCACATTGTTCTTCATCTTTGAACTGTAGGCTCTGGGGGACTTTTATTTTTTCTTTACCTATCTATCTATCTATCTGTCTGTCTGTCTGTCTGTCTGTCTATCTATCTATCTATCTATCTATCTATCTATCTATTTTGTGAGGAAGATCGGCCCTGAGCGAACATCTGCCAATCCTCCTCTTTTTACTGAGGAAGACTGTCCCTGGGCTAACATCCGTGCCCATCTTCCTGTACTTTATATGGGACGCTGCCACAGCATGGCTTGACAAGCGGTGCGTTGGTGCGCGCCCAGGATCCGAACCCGCGAACCCCGGGCTGCCACAGCGGAGCGCCACTGGGCTGGCGCCGATGGGGGGAGCGGGGGGCACTTTTCCTTTTATTGTTTTACATATGTTTTTACAAACAGTGAGTTTTCACAAATTGCTTTTTTCATATGTCTTAATACTTTGTTGAATTAAATTCTAAAATTGTTTTTGTCATAGTCTTTCTTATAAAATTGTTTTTGTCATATTCTTTCCTTTGCTGTCTACATCAGTAACATGGATTTTATAGATTGTGGTCTTGTCTTTCACAGCTTTCAATTTCTCTCTAATCCTTTCAGTAGTTTTTACTTAATCTTTTTTCCTTTTGCTCATTTTATTTATTTATTTATTTATTTTTTGTGAGGAGGATTGGCCCTGAGCTAGCGTCTTCCAATCCTCCTCTTTTTTTGCTGAGGAAGACTGTCCCTGGGCTACATCCATGCCCATCTTCCTCCATTTTATATAGGACACAGCCACAGTATGGCTTGACAAGCCGTGCATCGGTGTGCATCTGGGATCCGAACCGGCGAACCCCAGGCCGCTGCAGCAGAGCGTGCGCACTTAACCCCTTGCGCCACCGGGCCGGCCCCGCCTTTTGCTCATTTTAAAACCTATCATTCACATAAATGAGTGTACTTTTTAGCATTGTCTGTTTTTTCTCTTATCTCTCAATGTGCTCTCTTTTCTTAAATAGTTTTATTTTACTTTCAGAAGTTTTGGAGCTCTGCTAAGTCATTTTTCCTTCTTCTCTTGTCTTATAATCTTTTACTTTCGTTCTTGTGATTCTTCTTTGAAGTCCTATTAATTAAGGTTTTTAATAACTTGTAATCCATCCATCACTAAAATTATTCAGTAATTTTTAAGTGATGTTCTGCTCCAAGGCAAAGAGTTCCTTGAATATTAATAGTCAATTACTTTTCCACTCCTACCTCTTTTATACTTTAGCCTTTTTAATAGTTAATGCATTGGCTGTTTTTTTTTCCAAGTCATTTTCATTGAGTTGACTTCTCCTTAAATTTCATGAATTCGTAGTGATAATTTGGAGAGAAATACATGTCAGGGTTGTGCTATGGCAGGACCTCTTCCTGGCTCAAAATCATGACTGTTTAGCGCAGGACATTTGGAAAGTTTGTGGGCCCTGGTTGGGGTGTCCACAGTCTAAGAAAGATCAGCTACTGTGGGGCTGGTTTGTATTTACCGTTCTCATTCACTCATGATCTTCTTGGACGCCTCCCACTTGGAAGCATGGACAAAGCACAGGGATACCTAGGTATATTCTTCCTTCCCACTCATAGGGCTGTCCTGTTGCATATGCTTATGGGTTCCCCCGATATCCCTATATTTCCTTAGAAGAAAAATTCTAAAGGTAAAAAAAAATAAATTTCCATTTCAATCTTGAATTTTCCCTGAAGTCAAAACCTAACATAATCCTTTGGTCAGTGCCTTATTAGTTTTCCTAGATCTTCCTTTCCTCTGCTTGGATGCTCCCCGATGCTCTGAGTAACTCAATCGATAAACCATGTGTGTGGAGTATCTCTTAGGCATTGTGAACTGTTCTGTATATTGCTACCTTTCCCCAGTTATCAGATCCTTGTGTTAATCTGGGGCTTCTCTTTCAGATCTGATTGAAAGCTCTGTCCTCCCTGCTGGGTGACTCACAGAAGAAAAGAAGAGGAAACTGCCCAGAATCCAGCTATCACCCCCTAGACATTTAAACAACTCTGCAGTTCCTCAGACCCTTCCTCAGCTCACCCTAGAAGGGAAAAGATTCAAACTCTTCATCACAGTACATGCATACAACAGGCGGAAAGCAAAGCTTGGTAACCACCTTGGCACTGCCTGTCTCTGTGATGCTGAAGACATTCTCTTTCCTGTGCATTACAGAGAAGATTCAAATTTCTAGGTATGGACCAGTGTCCCGGGGGAAGGGTGTTCTTACTATTCTGAGAAGAGCAGGTACCTTAGAGCTCAGGGTAGAGGCAGGTGTTTGAGAGGTATAAGCATAGGGCCCAGTCCAAGCGCCCTAAAAGGGAAAACATTGGTATAAGAGCTCAGGGCACAATTGGAGCAGGGCATCCAGTCACTTTCTGGCCTTGTGCCCATGTAAGAGGACAGCAAGGGGTCAGAGGTGAAAACTTGGGCTTTCCTCAGTTTTGGAGATGAATGTCTATTTTGTCCCTCTGCAGAGTTTGTAAACTTTGGAAGATGCTAGTTGAACATTCTGCACTTTGGAGACATGTACCTGACACCATACAGGGTATGTATGAACTCTATTTGGGAAAATACTTGAGGGTCTCTGTGGTATATCTGGGATGGCAGTTCTCACATAGAACTCATCCTAGACTCCTTGGAGGGGATATATATGATGGCTCAATGGAGGGGATGTATATAATGGCTCAGTGGAGGGGATGTATATGATGGCTTGATAGACAGGGTATGTATGATGACTCCGTAGAGTGGTATATATGATGGCTAAGCGGAAGGGGTATATGTGATGGCTCTGTGGAAGGGGATGTATATGATGGTTCAGTGGAGGGAGTATATATGAAAGCTCAGTGGAAGGGGTATAGATGATGGCTCAGTTGATACTGTCCAAGGGCCTTGAGCATCAATCATTCCACTCCCTGATTCAAGTTGAAGGTGGTTGATTTTAGTCTCTTGATCATGGAATGTTTGGCTCTTGTGGGGAAAGGGCCCTGTTGTAAGTCATCTCTTCTGAAGAGACATGGGATCAGGGTTCCAGTCACCCAGTGTGAGAGGCTACCTGATCTGAGGCAGAAATGGTTCTGAAATCATTCCAGCTTTAATTCAGGAAGTTAGGTGCCCCCACCTGACTAAACTCTGGTTGTGTGTGACACTTGAGGAAACTCTCAATCACCAAACTGCCCTGTTACCTGACAAATGTGGAATTTGAGCATAGAAGACAGGCAGAGCAAAATTAAAATTATAGATGTGCCATTTTCTAGCTGTGTAACTCTTATTTTATTAAAGTTTTTTGAACCTTTTCTGTTCATGTCATTTGTTAAATTGGTAAGTAAACTATAATCAGTAGGTTTATTGTAAGGATGAAGTAAGCAAATATGTGTAAATATCTAAGCGGAGAGTCACATTTGATCCAAATTTATTTTATTTTTTTCCTTTTCTGGACCTCAGATATAAATGGGTGAGTTAATCCTACTTCTGTTTATGACACACTATCATCATTTTTCCATGAAGTACATTTAATTATTGGTGTTTTAGGAGAGAATTTACAGTTATAAATGCTTTCTCTGTGTGTGTATATATACATATATATGCATGTACATATACATGTACGTGTGTGTGTGTATAATGAAATGCAGGGATGTTGCAACTAATGAAGATTATTACAGACCAGGATTTGGAGGATTTCAGCTACCACTTGACTAAACTGTCAGATGGAGCATCTAGATTTTCCCCTACACCCCAGCCATTCCATATTATCTGAGTGTCCTTGACCTAGAGGATTGAGACACACATGACAGTAACATTACGGCTCATGCTCTCCTGCTACTTTCTGATGCAGGGGATTTTAAGGACTGGACTGGCAGGATGGGTGCCATTGAGCCCTCCAAATGGAATAAGTCCTTGAATTGATTAACTCCATCATATAATAGATTCTCAGTTGCTTGATATCCAGGTCTGTGGGGGACAGATCTAAAAGTCAGGGTTGCGGGAGAGCAGGAAGGGAATGAGGCTCCAGAGGGCTGCCATGGATGTTGGAGGACCATTGCTGGCACATAAGGCAAGAATAATGTAATCTGAGGAATTCTACAGTGTTTACCTACAGGTGGAAACCAATGTCTGCATATGGCATGAGTCAGGGATCATTATGATTTAGAATCACAGAGGGAATTGAGTAAGTCTGGATGCTATAGGCTAATTAACATGTGAAACTCAGTACTTTCGATTTTCTTATCCATAAGATATCTGTATTTCTATGTTTTTTTCTTAGCAACTATAGTCATAGTCTTCTTAATTTTGACCCTGGAGAGGAGGAGAGTCCTCTGTATTTCTTGTACGGGACACTGCATGTTGGTTATGGTCGGGGGTTAAACCAGGGGAAGGTTTGGGGCTTCATGATGAGTCGGTCTGGACATTGTGCACAGGACTGGAGTCTCATGGCTTCTTTCTCCTCAGCTTTGCCTGCTTAGTGCTTGGACTGTCTGTGAGTGAAAACCCAGAGAAAGACAGCTGGTAACTGAGTTATCGATAATTCAGCCACTGGTGAGTAAGAAATGCCTCTTGCTGCTGAAATTATGTCCCTAGTGCCGATAGATGAGCAAGTTTTTCCTATTGGCATGGATGTTCTAAGTGCAATCAGGAGGCATTCAGGCATCTGAGATCTACTGAAAATTCCCCAGGATACTAGGATGTTTATAATGGGTCAGGAACTCCTCAATAACTAATATTGTTCGTAACATCACACTAGTTTAGTCTCCGTTAAGGTTGTGTTTTTACAGAAGAGATGAGAAAGTTTTCTTTCTGTAATTTAGTCCATGGCCTCATTGGGAAATAACTTATTCATTAATCATGTTATTGGCTGTAATGGTCTAAGGGTTGTGATGAATGCAGATGACAGAGATGAGCAAGGAGCAGAACAGTACAGTCCAATAGGGAGGCAGTGGTTTCATCAGGTGAATTCAATTAATTGAGTGTTACAGGTCCTGGGTGAGGGCTGCGATGTGTTCAAGGGAGCATGAGAGAAGTTTAGACCAGAGGAGTTCTGGGGAGTCATTCATTTATTTTTTTCGTATTCTAAATTTAACATTTTGATAGAATATATATAGAAACTTCTTAAAAAGATAACTAAAATTCTCATTATTCTTCTTCTCCCCAATCATGCATTTTACTTTTTTGTAATTAAACTTTTTTCATATTCGGTAACTGGCATTAATGTATAGGGATCATTTTTTTGTTAATTATGGCTGTACATTCAGGAAAATGAGTAAAGTAGGGTAAAATTTAATATTCTGTGGGAATTTTTGAGGAACTAGATAGACCAAAGAGGCTTCTTTTATCCTTCAGCAGAGAGACAAGACAAAGACAGGAGACAATGATAACTGGTGTTTCAGGTCCCAGAGAAAATTGAGCATGGGAGTCCTCACACCACAGGAATGGTCAGGCTAGGACTGTCCTTCAGTGCAGCTGTCCCAGAGATCCCTGGCTGGTGCTGCTGAACCATCTGACCTTATAGTTTGTCATGAACACCTGAGTCCCGTAGAATTGAGAGAAACTGTTGATACCAAGTTCCATATGAATCTTGTTCAATTCTGAAGAATGCTGGAGATTGCTTCAAGGTTCTTGGTCGTTTTAATGAGTAATAGACTAAAGGCTTGTATTTAATACATATTTACTTAGATAAGATGAACTTCATACATTAGTTCATAGCATCTTTCTACACTCATAATCAGTTGGTTATTAAAGCATTTCATATATGAGGAATCTGAGGTTTATCTAAGGGAATGATGTAACCATAGTCATGGTTCAAAAGTGACAAATCATGGTTATTGTTTGCCTTCTGGTGAGTCTGTAAAGTTACTTGACGTTAATCATAAAGTTTTAGTTATGAAATTTCAAGGGCAAATTTTATAATCACGTCTGGAAGTCGTAATTACCAGTTTATTGGAAAATTTCCAGGTTATATTACACATACTACATGTGATATTACTTTACAATAAAGGTTTATTAATTCAGACTGTGTATATCTCTGTGATGTATCCAAAAGATAGATTCCAGCTCAGCACTGAGAATGAACTAATAGGAACCCCAAACTCAGTTTGATCTTTCTATACATCCATCTCCTCTACCCCCTTCCTCAGTGCTGTCATCTCAACCCTCCCACTCTGGACATTGGTAGGGATTGATCTGTCTAAACCAGAATATCCATGATGTTTTAGGAATCAGTGACATTTGAAGATGTAGCTGTAGACTTCACCCAAGAAGAGTGGGCCCTGCTGGACACATCCCAGAGAAACCTGTACACAGACAGATGCTGGAAAGTATCCGTCTTATGGTCTCCATGGGTGAGTCTGTCAACATTTATGTATGTATATAGGTTGGTAGGTAGGTATTCATTCATTCAGTCAGTCAGCAAGTATCTAAAACAGCTTCTGTATACCCATGCCAATCTCTGCCCTGATTCTTTCGTAGACCTTATAACTATATGAAAGAAAGTGGTTCCTTTACATTTGACTTACATCTAGTTTGTCACCCTACTAGAATGTAATCTTAATCACAATTTAATGTTTTTCTTGCTACTCAGTCTGTAACAGCACAGAACTGGGAACTCAATATTTTTGAATGCATAAGTAAATTGATTAAATATTTTCTAAATAATTATTCTACTCTAGTCACTATGCTAAGGTTTGAGACCAGAGTAGTGAAAATAACAGAACTTTGATTGTTCTTGTGGAGTTTATGTTTATTGGCATCTGTTTGAAAATAATATTCAACCCACTGTGGAGACATTTAATTTCTCTATTTTTGAAAAGACTGAGGATTCTACATTCTGTCCCTGAACTTGAGCATGGACATCAGCATCCTGAGGTCTTCACTATTTTGGACACATTATCTGGATTTCTTCCTGGTCTGGTGATGGACCTTCAATGTTTTCTCTGTTCAGGGTGTTGCCTGAGCTGACCTTGATTCTTCTCCTTATTCTTTGTCAGTAGCCATCCCTGGATTAGATGATAATGCATTTTATTAGCACAGAATTCAAAATCTACCCACCCTTTTCCCATGAACAGGGTATCAGCATTGCAAATCAGAGGTGATTTTCCAGTTGGAGCAAGAAGAGCTGTGGAGTGGAGGAACAGGATTTCTCCAAGGCCAGAGTCCAGGTAGGGAGCAGGGACCTGTGCTTCAGTATGAGGAGGTGCCTAGTCAGTGACTGAGTACGTCCTTACAAATATCAACTGAAGATTTTGGTAAGTGAGTGACATTTTCTAAAATGTAGATGAAAGACATTGGGGCAGAATTCTTCAGGTGTTGTCATTATTCCTTGCATATATCAGTCACAATTCACGTGTCCTCCTGCCATTGTCATTGGCTTTAGAGAAAAGGATATTCATGTGCTTATTGAAGTTAAACTTTCACATAATAATTCTTGTCCCAATCCTCCCTTTTGAATGTTTTCCCTCTTGTTACCTCCATCTCCATTTTACTTTTTCCATATTTCAGTCCTGAAAGTCTTTACTAATTGTCAGTGCCCTATAATGTGTTTCTACTTCCTTGATTATTCCTCATCAAAGTGACAATTTTTCAAACATACTCAATATGGGTCTTGGTGCTTTTCAGCATTTTCATTCCCCTAATGCCATTCTAAATATTTATTTTTTTCAATTATTTTAGGCAGAGAGAGTGCCCTTAAAGAACAAGAAATGATAGCCACACAACATGTCAGCAAGAAGCACACATCTACAATCATGCCAAGGGTATGTTTCATGGATGTTGACCCTGGGCATCCAAATTAAAGACCTAGCAATGGGATATTAGTAATTGAACACAATAGCCTGATTTATGTTAAATTGGGGTTAAGCTCTTTCTGAGCAAAAAGTTTTAGATAGTTTGAATTTAGTGAAGAAATTACGCTGAGCTTGAACCCATAACCTGAGATCTTAAAAAAAAGGACAACTGCATAAACACTGCTCATATGCCTAGTCTTGGAAACATATTGAAATCTTCAAAATTAATCTCTAAGCCCTGCAGTTGGGGTGCTCCAAAAGAGAAAATATTTGTGTTTGCAGGAGAGTAACACATCATGTGTATGCAGATAAGATAGGAAAGATTGTAGTTGGAGGCTGTCACTGAATGATTAGTTTAGAATTCATATGTTGGGAAATGAATAAATGAATGTACATGAGCAAACCATTAACAGCCTTTCATCTCCTTCCCCAAAGCAGAAATCTCACACTCCAGAGGATCCCTTTGAATGTAGTGATTTGGGAGAAGATTTCACTGATAGCTCCACATTGACTCAACAATCCTTAACTCACCCAGAAAAGAAACCCTATGTCAGCAAACAGTGTCAAAAATCCCTTAGTGATCAATCATGCTTTAATCAACATAAGCAGATTCACTCTAGAGGTAAATCATGTGCGTGCCATCTGTGTGGGAAAGCCTTTAGTAATTGCTCTAGCCTTAGACGACATGAGATGACTCACACTGGAGAGAAACCGTATGAATGCCGTATCTGTGGGAATGCCTTTATTCAAAGTTCTGACCTTAGAAAACACAATCTAACTCACACTGGAGAGAAACCGTATGAATGTCATCTCTGTGGGAAAGCCTTCAGTCAGTCCTCTAACCTCAGACAGCATGAGAGAACGCACACTGGAGAGCAACCCTATGAATGTCATCTATGTGGGAAAGCGTTCAGTAAATGTTCTGCCCTTAGACGACATGAGAGAACTCACACTGGAGAGAAACCATATGAATGCCAGCTGTGTGGGAAATCCTTCAGTCAATGTTCTGCCCTTAGACGACATGAGGGAACTCACAATGGAGAGAGAATCATGAATGCCTTCACTAAATATTCTGACTTGAGATGACATGGTAATATAATTGTAATGAATGTGGAAGAAACATCAATCATAGTTTTAACATTTAAACACATCAGAGGACTCACATTGAAGAAACACTGTCTGTAATCAATGTGGAAGATCCTTTAGTCATCTTTCTTTGACATACACAAATCTATATGGAAGAGAATCATGTGTGTGACAACTGTGTGGCAAAACCTTCAGTCAGCGTTCTGAGCGTAGATGACCTGAGAGAACTCACACTGTAAATATAAGGAATGTAGACGTGTTCAGCAACAGCTCTAAACTTTAAACACACTAGAGGTCTCACACAGAGGAGGACCCCTAGGTCTATAGTCAATGTGCGAATATTCTCATTTATAATCCATGGATAAACAACAAGAGCAAACTCCACTTGGGAGAACCCCTAGGTCTGTAATCACTGTCAACAAATATGCAGCTGAGTACCAGGCGTAGCATGTGCAGGAAGACTCAGTGAAGGAATAACCCTAAAACAGGATGTGGGGGGATGAAGCCTCTTGAGGAACACCAAATAATTCATAGTGGAGAAGAGATTCAATGAAAACACTCTCAGTGTCATGAAAGAAGGAAAATCTTCAGAGATCATTCATTTCATAGTCAACATTAAGGTTCTTCACTGAGGTGATAACAATCCTAAAGTCAAAGTGGAGAAAACTTCAGCTGGATTTCACATCAGAAAACAAAGTCTAGGGGGAAAAAACCCTCTAAAAGAACCTTTTAATATGCAAGTAATTCAGAATTTTGAGAAAATATCTATTCATAGGAAAAATGTGGCATATAAGTGCAAGATACTAAAATGATCTGGGAATACTGAATGGAGAATTTTGTGAGAAGTTAAAACTTTTCAATAGACTATTACTTGTAAATATTTAAACAATAAATTCAGTTGCTGAAAATCTAATATGTTGATGAAGTTCTAGTTTTATTTATGCAGGTGTAAACACACAGATTTGGGTCTGCACTCCTTGCCATGTGAGTTAGAGATTCAGCCTGACTCTGAGTCTCCTTTTTCTCCAACAGCTCCTTCCACACAGCTCAGCTCCACTCATTCCAACCTTCCCACCCATGTCAGCTGTCTGTCTCTATGCCTTGGTGGTGACACAATAGGGACCTTCACCCCACTTGATAGATTTCTCGGTGTGCTATGACCCTGGCCCAGCAGGGTCATGGGGCCAGTATTCTAGACATCTAGTATAAACCACTGGGTTGTCTGCAGCCCTGTTTCGGCCCCTGGGCGGCTACGTGGGCCAGAGAGACAGGCAGCTCTGCCATCCCAGGCCAAGGACACTCCTTGGATTTTTTCCACGAAGCCTCTGAGTTAAACTAAGTGGAGCAGGAGTTCATCCCATGACCCTATCCCACATCTTATTCAGCTAAGTCCTGAGTTATGTACCTACATGTTCCCCAAACAGAGCCATTGCTATGCTCTCGTCACAGCAGCGCTGAAAAGAAAAGTACAGCAAGATAAAATTTCCTAACCTATCAGACACCACATAAGACCTATTATTAACTTGATGTACTGTTTCCCAGCAAAAGAGAAGTTCTCACCAAGGAGGTCTCCCCTGCTTTGCTCCCAAATATGAATTGCCCCTGAACAAACCTCCATACTGAACCTAAACCTCAAGGGGAAATGCTTTCAAGGGGTAACTCACCTGATCTGTGCTCTTCCCAAACTGGCACAATTCCAAAATTATATCCTGAGGCCAATTAAATGAACACATGTCTGGGTGAAACTGATACATCATCATTATTATTTTTTTAAATCTTCACAAGTGATTCCACTTTGCAGCTGGGTGGAAACAGTCAAGTCAGGTGTGAGGCCAATGAGCACCCAAAATTCAACATCTTAGCACCCTGACTAGAGAGGCAGGGGCTGTGATCCTGTCCACATACATGGAGGTGTGAAGGATGGTTGAAGGGAACAAGTCAGTGATTAGAAGTTCAGACCCTGGAGACAGACTCCAGGGTTCTGAATTCCATTGTCGTAGCCCATTAGACCTTGTTAGTGAACCTCTCTGTGATTCAGTTTCCTCAATTCTAAGGTAGAAGTAAGCTTAGTGCTTTCATCATAGAGTTGTAGTGAGTACTATTAATGAGTTGATAAGGTATACAGCAAGTTGTTATTGCAGTTACTAGGCACTTTGTGTTTGCAAATAATTTTTTTTAAATTATTGAGGTTGTATAGGTTTATAACGTAATTTCAGTTGTACATTATTACATATTAGATTCTGTATAGACTGCATTGTCTCACCACCAATAGTCTACTTTTTATCAGTCACCATACATATGAGCCCCTTGACGCCTTTTGCCATCGCATCTGGTAACCACTAATCTGTTCTCCTTATCCATGTGTTTTTTTATCTTCCACATATGAGTGAAATCATACAGTATTTGTCTTTGGCTTATTCTGGTAAGCATAATTTCTGCAAGGTCCATCCATGTTGTCGCAAATGGCACGATTTTGTCTTATTATATGGCTGAGTGGTATTCCACTGTGTGTGTGTGTGTGTGTGTGTATATATATATATATATATATATATTCCACATCTTCTTTATCCATGCATCTTTTGATGGGCATTTGGGTTGCTTCCATGTCTTGGCTATTGTGAATAATGCAGCGATGAACATAGGGATGAATAAATCTCTTTCAATTGTTGATTTCCTATTCTTTGGATACATACCCAGTAGTGGGATAGCTGGATCGTATATAATTTCTATTTTTAATTTTCTGAGAAATCTCCATAAGGTTTTCCATAGTGGCTGCACCAGTTTGCATTCCTACCAGCAGTGTATGAGGGTACCCTTTACTCCCTGTCCTCTCCAACATTTATTATTTTTTGCCTTGTTAATTATAGCCATTCTGATGGGTGTAAGGTGATATCTTTACACTTGTTTTGATTTGTCTCTGCAAACTGTAGTTTTGATTTGCATTTCCCTAATAATTAGTGATATTGAACATCTTTTCATGTGCCTATTGGCCATCTGTATATCTTCATTAGAAAAATGTCTGTTCATATGCTCTGCCCATTTTTTGATTGGGTTGTTCATTTTTTTTGTGGTTGAGTTGTATGAGTTCTTTATATATTTTTGAAATTAACCCCTTGTCAGCTATATGATTTGCAAATATTTTCTTCCATTTGGTGAGTTGTCATTTTGTTTTGCTGATGGTTTCCTTTGCCTTGCAGAAGCTGTTTACTTTGCTATAGTCCCATTTGTTTATTTTTTCTTTTGTTTCCCTTGCCTTAGTAGACATGGCATTTGAAAAAATACTGCTAAGACCGATGTCAAAGAATGTACTGCCTATATTTTCTTCTAGGAGTTTTATGGTTTCAGGTCTTATATTCAAGTCTTTAATCCATTTTGAGTTAATTTTTGTGTATGGTGTAAGATAATGGTCTACTTTCATTCTTGCATGTGGCTGTCAAGTTTTCCCAACACCATTTATTGAAGAGATCTTCCTTTCTCTATTGTATGTTCTTGGCTCCTTTGTCAAAGATTAGCTGTCCGTAGATGTGTGGTTCTACTTCTGGGCTTTCAATTCTGTTCTATTGAACCATTGTCTGTTTTTGTACCAGTACCATGCTGTTTTGATTACTATAGCTTTGTAATATATTTTGACGTCAGGGATTGTGATGCCTCCAGCTTTGTTCCTTTTTCTGAGGATTGCTGTGGCCATTGGGGCTCTTTTCTGGTTCCACATAAATTTTAGCCTTCATTGTTCTATTTCCATGAAGAATGTCATTGAGACACTTAATGGGACTGCATTGAATCTCTAGATTGCTTTAGGTAATATGGACATTTTAACTATGTTTATTCTTCCAATCTATGATCATGAGATATCTATCCATTTCTTTGTGTCTTTGATTTCTTTCAATAATATCTTATAGTTTTCAGTGTATAGGTCTTTCACCTCCTTGGTTAAATTTATTCCTAAATATTTTAGTCTTTTTGTTGTGGTTGTAAATAGGATTGTATTTTTGAGTTCGTTTTATGCCAGTTTGTTATTAGGGTATAGAAATGCAACTGATTTTTGTATCTTGATTTTTTACCCTGCTATTTTGCTGTAGTTTTTTATATTTTCTAATAGCAGTCTGGTGGATTCTTTATGGTTTTCTAGATGTACAATCATGTCATCCACAAACAGTGAGATTTTCACTTCTTCCTTTCAATTTGGATAACTTTTATTTCTTTTTCTTGCCTAATTGCTGTGGTCAATACCTCCAGTACAGTGTTGAATAAGAGTGGTGAGAGTGGGCATCTTTGTCTTGTTCCTGTTCTCAGAGGGATGGCTTTCAGTTTTTCACCATTAAGTGTGATGTTGCCTGTGGGTGTGTAATATATGGCCTTTATTATGTTGAGGTACTTTACTTCTATACTCAATGAGTTTTTTTTTTTTATCATAAATGGATGTTGGATCTTGTCAAATGCTTTCTCTGCATTAATTGAGATGATCATGTAATTTCTGTTCCTCATTTTGTTTATCTGGTTTATCACATTGATTTATAGATGTTGAACCATTGCTGCATCCCTGGAATAAATCCCAATTGATCATGGTTTATAATTCTTTTAATGTATTGCTGTATTCCATTTGCTAATGTTTTGTTGAGGATTTTTGCATCTATGTTCATCAGTGATATTGACATATAATTTTCCTTTTTTGTGTTGTCTTTCTCTAGTTTTGGTATCAGGGTAATGTTGGTCTTGTAGAATGAGTTAGGAAGCATCCCAACTTCTTCAATTTATTGGAATAGTTTGAGAAGGATAGGTAGTAAATCTTCTTTGAATGTTTGATAGAATTCTCCAGAGAAGCCATCTGATCTTAGATGTCTGTTTTTGAGAGGTTTTTGACTACCGTTTCAATATCTTTACTTGTAATTGGTCTATTCAGATTCTCTGTTTCTTCTTGATTCAGTTTTGGGAGGTTGTATGATTTTAAGAATTTCTGCATTTCTTCTAGGTTATGCAGTTTGATGGCATACAGCTTTTCATGTATTCTCTTAAAATCCTTTGTATTTCTGTGGTATCCATTGTAATTTATCCTCTTTGATTTCTAATTTTATTTGTACCTTTTCTCTCTCTTTTTTTTTAGTGAGTCTGGCTAAGGGTCTGCCGATTTTATTCATCTTCTCAAAGAAGATTAGTTTCATTAACCCTTTCTATTGTTTTTTTAGTCTCTATTTCATTTATATCTCTATTAATCTCTAGTCTCTATTTCATTATTTCTCCTCCAATTTTTATTAATTCCCTCCTTCTAATGACTTTGGGCTTTGTTTAATCTTCTTTTTATAGTTCTTTTAGGTCAAGTTTAAGATTAATTATTTGAGATTTTGTTTTTTGAGGTAGGCCTGTATTGCTATAAATTTCCCTCTTAGTACTGCTTTTGCTGCATCCTATAAGAGTTGGTATGTTGTGATTGATTTTCATTTGTCTCCAGGTATTTTTTGATTTCTCCTTTTGTTTCTTCATT